CTTAACTTCGTGTTGATCCCATTCGACGAGTGAGCTTTTGTACAATTCAATGCTTTCCAGATCGAGCTTGTATCGCCCAGTGTCTCCCAGAGGATGGAAAGGCTATTCGCCCAAACAGACGTTGATTCCCGGACCGATTCTCGAATCATACCCCTGGTGGCGATGACACTTTAATGCCTATCTGCGATTATCAGGTTTTTTGTTAGATATCACAAAGGAAGGGCTGGTGCTACTGTAGATTCCTGACCAGTTCCTCTTTGAGCGCATGCATTGTTAAGTATTATTGTGTTTTTTGGGCCGTGACATCATTGATGCAATATTTGTTTTGAGATTACGATCATCCGCTCGTCCATCATTATCGAGAGCCTATTTGTTTCAAAGAAGCCTTTGACAGTTGGGTCGGCATTTGACGTGTGCAAATACACTTCGGCACTTATATAAGGGATAAAGGATGAAGTCTTCTGGTGTTCATCCGTTCCGTTCTCAGGATACGCCCCACATTCGAAATCCACTCGAAATTGTAGTAACGATTTACTGAGTAGTCGCCTCGATGAACCCGATGAACGCTTCAGCCAGAAGATGTACACGACAATGCATAAATCCACCCAGACGATTTGGGTACCAACTGCCCACAATGTAGGGACTCGATTGGACTGGGCGTGTATCGGTCAAGGTTTCGAACCTCGAACTGTTTCGTAGCGAGCCAGTAGCCGCTACAGCACTTCCGTCTCAGTTCTTACGGAATTTATCAACATCTACATAGGTTCTCCTTTCTGGTTTTCCTCTAATTTCTCTTGGCTTCGTTTACTTCTTCACCTTCGAGTCGTCATGTGGGACCATGATTTATAGAATGAAGGAAAACTTGCTCTTCAATCTTCTAAGAAAGTATTGAATCCCCTACCAAAAAATTTCCCGATTCCACCTGCAAAGTGTCCCCACCTTTCAGCCAAATACCATTCAGTTCGTCGTCACCCCTCGTTCACAATGGCGAATGGGTATGTATTGGTCGGAGTCATGTCAACTCTCCCATAAAGGCGCAATTCACATTGCCAACAAAGGAGTGTGAGGGTGGATCGAGGCACTTATGTGTCTCAGTGTATAGAAGGCGACCAGGCAAGACTAGTTCCCTCTCAACGCTCGGACTTCTCTCTCCCTTTGCCCACCTCAACCGCTTTCAATGTCTAACGGCTCACTCGAAACATCTGGTGAATGCGGCTCATCAAAAACGTGTGCCACAGCGTAATAAATGCTGAAATCGGGAACAATTGATGCGAAACGGTGATGAGGCGCAGATCATAAAAGCACAGCGACGGCAGATGTGTTACCCATATATACCACGAAGACGATTTACACTGAAGCCCGTTGCCCATTAGTGACGATAATAGCTGTGAATCGAACCGTTATTTCGTAGCCAGAGGCCGTTACATTTCTATTGCAATGGTGGGTCCCAATTCGATGAACCTCCTAATAGATTCCCTCGAGTATCAAGGAAGAAGCCAATGGGGAAATACTGTAGACATGTAGGAAAATATTGTGATTGAAAAGTAACCTAAAAAGAGTGTCTGTTAGAAGTGAAATGGGCAATTGGTAATGGTGATTGATAAATCAATTTGGAACCCTAAATGGGTTAGAAAGGACAAGGCGAAGATCCTACAGCGGGAAGGCTGAAACTGACGGCTCAGCCGATGGACCGAACTTTCACTCAGGCAGTCCCTTTTAAATTTGAGCTCCGGCAATTCATTTCGCGATCAACTCCCTTAAATGGACATCTGGTTCCACTGCCCCTAACTCGCCTACACGCGTGCTCAGATGAGGATGTATCCTATAGTATTTCTTTAGATTTTCTTTGGATTTCTTCAGATCTCGAAGTAATTGTCCCTTGTTACGGTTTGCTCCTAGTTTCATCCGTTTTCTCGTCGTCAAAAATTAAGCCGATGTACGCTCTAATGCCCACGTTAATCTTCTAAGATTACCATAACCAGTTTGTCGATGCCCCTGACACCGATGGTTCAGTTTCCCTGACGATGATTGCTACTGTAATTCAAAGACCTTCCTCTTCAAACGTACAAATTGCTCAACTCACATTTCCATCGATCGTAAATCCTTTCGCAGCGTAATTGGCCATGCCGCGGATAATGTCGGCGATGTTGCCTTCGATCACGGTAACCAAGCTGTTGTTCAGCTTCAAATTCGTAACTGAAATGAGCAGATTTTATTGAAATTGTGGCTGATTTCAGGATAAACTTTGCTGCGCTTTTTTTGTCATTACTATTTTTCATTGATAAAAAGATTAAGTCCTACAGAGGTTGCCCAGCACAATTTGCCCCATTCCTTCACCTCTTCGTTTCATCCCTCTTACTAGGGGAAGTTCCAGTAAAACTTCTCTGTAGGCGTTAGATGCTGAGCAGTAAAAGCAATACTTAGACGGTTACGAGCACAGTTTTATGACGAATAAATTCATTGCGACCTTCCAAATGTACGACCTGAAGTCGGTCTGATGTGGACAAAAGGTTGCTGACAAAAAATCTCTATTCTTCAGGAAAAATTTTA